TGCAACGAAATAATCGAAAAAATACTGCGTTCCACTTATTTTGGCCAAGGGGATATATTAAAAAAATAGATATTTTTTAGACTTTTATACGAATAAAATGTCACCACCAGTTGAACTCATTCATTTGTCTTTCTTTCGATATTTTCAATTTCAACATTTTATTTTATTTAACCATTTCAATCTTCAATCAATAAAGCAAAAATCAGATCAATATGGAAGTTTATCGTAAAGAGAGCGAGAGCCGTGAAAAGTCTATTGAATCCATAGAAAGCGTGATAGATATCAAAGCCATTGAAGTACTCAAGTATTTCTCGAATCAATTCGACAGGCAGCATTTCGAGCAGAATTGTTTGCAGTTATGTCTAAAATACGCTTGAATTCCGTTTATTTTTTAATTTGTAGTATTATTTATATTGTATCATAGTCCTTCTTAAAGTAACAGAGTGTTATGTAGCTGTGCCATAGCGTCACCTTATTTCGCCATTCTTGGTGTCAGAGATGCAACGTTGAGAACAGGAAAAATCAATCATCTCTATATGAAGACGTGTTTTCTTCCCTACCTGTGCAACTGGTATATGGCAAAAACTGAAATGTTTGTATCTAAAACAGTGCGTTTGTTTTTCTTTCTGATCGCTAAAAAATTCCGACTATTCATTCTTTTCTTGAGATATTCATTACCACGAATATGTATGTTTTGCTGATAATAACATCGCGGTATTATGCGCAAAATTTCTATGTATGTGATGAGTTATCTTTCTAGGTAATGAACCCGAAGGAAGACATATCTTCGATCAATAATGTCACAAACTTGTCTGAACGATGCATTCTTGATCCATACATACAAAGATAAAATAGATTCTTTTGATTTGGATAAAATTTCTTCTAATTTTGTCTCGATGAATAGTCAGAGAACTAATTCTTTTCCATGCTCAAAATAAGAAAGGTGCAGTTTCGTTCTGCTTGAGGTTAGAGAAGAGCAGCAAAAATATTTTGCATCTCATCAATTTTCAAATTGATTTGCTCTCTATGGTGTAGTCACTTTTCTGTCTTGTTCTTCGTTCACAAACAAAGATAAACGAAATAAATCGCATTAGATAGTATCAGTGTTTCAAAATGAAGGGAAAAAGAACAGATGTATATCTGTATGCATATTAGCAGAGCTACTCTTATTCTTGCTATCATACTCCATACACGATTGCACTACTTCAACGATACGTTTTCTCCATTTGCTTTTGGTTCTCGTGCTCTTCTTTGCTGGCGCTCAGGCACTCGAAAACCAGAAATCGGAAGAGATGCATGCGGGTGACTGCTCTTGAGGTAATGAAATGAAACCAAGATTAGGCCTTCTACGCTATTGTCCGTTCCATCGCTTCGAATGCAAGATAGTCTGTTTGTCTGCCTTGGCCACTCGAATGTGTGCAAAAGATCCTCAATGCTGCACGCACAACAATCAATGTGCCTCAGACGAAAAATGCTGTCGACCTGCATGTGAATGTCATAACCGGTACAGCAAAGCTCTAGAAAAACCAAACTGTCCGGATCAGCTATAGATAGTGTAACAGCATGTTTTTGATCTTGAATGATTTGTGGATGATGGTGTGGGTGTGGGGTGTGAGTGTGGGTGGGTGCGCGCGTGGGTGTGGAGTGTGGGTTGCGGGCGTGGGGTGTGGGTTGTGGGTGTGGGGGTAGAGAAACTCTTATAAACACTAAAACCCATACCCACACCCACACTCTATAAACCAACTCGACTCATTGCTAGACATTTTCCTTCTCTTGTACCTCAAACAACGGAAAGAAAACCTTCCCAGAAACAATGTGTTGTATGTGCACATACTAATAGACGACTTAAAAAGAGAACAGATTCACGTTATATGTGTAAAGATTGTGATGTGGGTCTTTGTGTAATTGGTTACTTCGAGGAATTTCATACCTTGATAAACTTTTAGTTTTTTTTTTCTTCCTACGTTTTTTTTTTCATTTCAAAATAAACCAGCTGCATCTTTTAAATGAGATCTAAGGGCAATAATTATGACCATTAATAACTTTCAAAATATAATTAAATTTTGGAACACAATTTCATTTTTTATGACAAAAAAATAACACCGTCCTCAACAGATCAATGAGGTTGAAGCATTACTTTCGACCCTTCAGAGCACAATCATCCATCAAATCGACGCTCGTCACTTGTATTTTTTTTAAAATTACCAATTCAAGTTAGAAACTGTCTTTTATCAAGTTTTTTGCTTTAGCATGTCCATATGTCATATTTATATAAAATCTCATAGTCAGTCAAAACGAGATATGAGACGGTCACAAAGGAAAACAGATAAGAAATGTTAGAGACGACAGATGGCATCCTCTAACAGTATTTATCTTCTATACATCCGCTAATTGATAAGATTACACGCAAGCAAGAAAGAAGGAAAGCAAATATGCAAAGATAGATGTGACTCACTTTCTTCTGTTTATTGTATATTGTAGTAATCGACAGAAAGAACAACAACAACAAGTTATTTATTCAGTTTGAATCCGATTCATAGTTAGTAGTCAATCGAACATGGCCAATGATGAAATGTTTCGTCTTGTTTGTCTTGATCTTCCATCGGAATTGTTTTTTCAATCGTATTCAAAGATGATTCATCGATACACAGACTTAAACATGGCTATGGCATTTATTGCATCCATGTGCCATGCTCATATTCTTTTCGTTGTTTCCAATCGTTTGGCAAAGGAAGCCTTTTCTCAATTGAAACTTCATCGTCATGTTCGAGATGTATTCATTCTCAATCATTCTTCGGAATCTTTGGAGATCAATTTTGATCAACATGAATCTTTAGTAGGAATTTTCCAATCTGAAGATGAATTAGACCATGCTGTACAGACAAAGATTATTTCCATCGAGAAGCAAGCCTTACCTTTCTCAGTCTTCGATCAAACACAACGAACTAGCAAAGATTTAGCGAAAGAATTCAATACTTTTCTCTGGTATCAGGTTTTATTTCATACCTTAAGACAAATGCCTGCTGATGAACAAGCTAAAGAAGAAATGTTGCAAATCTGTTCGAATTATTATCAAGCCAATCCTCGTGAAGAACGAATTATCCAAGAATACCGAGAATCTTCAAACGAAGATCAAGCTATTCACTGGTAAATTCCAATCTCTTCTCTTCTCATTCGAAATGTCGATGTTTTTTTTTTAGGTATACTCGGAATACATTCTTCTTCAAACTGGCAAATCAAGCCTTAAGAACTGAAGATATGCTTTTGGTCTATCGCTTTCGTCATTGGATTAAACAGTTATGTTTGGCAATCGAATGTGAACATTGCAAACAAAGTCAAGATCATTCATGGACACTATACAGTGGTTTTCGATTGCATGAAGAAGAATTAGAAAGATTGAAGAAGAGTATTGGAAGTTTAATTTCGATCAATAGTTTTCTCTCTACTACCCATGATATCGCCATCGCTCGAATATTTGCTGGTCAAGGAATAATCGAAGATCGATTAGTTCGTGTTCTTTTACATATTCAAGCCAATCCTGCTCGTCTTCAATCCGTCTTCTTTGCGGATATTAGTCAGATCAGTCAATTTCCTGAAGAAAATGAAGTACTTTTTTCCTTAGGTTCAACCTTTCGAATTCTCTCAATTGATTTCGATGAAGCTTTTCAATATTGGATTGTTCAATTGAATGCCACTGATGATGGATCTGATCGAATTTATGAATATTGTCAATTAGCTAATTATGATTTGTGTTCGACATCACCGATGATTTATTTTGGTACAATTCTCAATGAAAATCTCGATCAAACCGATCATGCAGTGAGATATTTTCGTGAATTATTAAGATTAGTAGGAAAAACTCATCCACAACTACCGGAGATTTATGATGCTCTTGGCGATGCCTATGCTCGCAGGAATGAAATCAGTCGATCGATCGAATGTTATAAAATCGAACGAAAGATTCAAAAAAAACGAGGCATTCTACCCTCAAAACCTGATGAGAAGATTCGAGAGATTCTTCAAATGAGATTAGCAGAAGAAGAGAACAAAACAAATGAACCTAATCTGGACAAAGCCAATTTATTATGTGAATTAGCGAGTTGCTCGAACTATGCTCAAGCTGAGATCTATCTCAATCAAGCTTTACAAATGTACGAACAACTGAAACTCGCTAGTCCATTGATGAGTACTTGTATAGAAGAATTAGTATGGACTTGTCGGATGAATGAAAACTATCAGAAATGTCTCGATCTTCTCTATCGACGTCTAGCCATCGAAGAAGAATATTTACCTGTTGATAATCAAAAGTTATGTGAGACTTTGAAAGACATCATGCATGATGGGAAAACTCCCGATGATCATCGACGATTTATCGACTTTTGTCAAAGAAAACTGCCCATTCTCGGTGAAAGTCTTGGTGAAAATCATCCTCGTCTAATCCATATACGAAGTTGTTTGGAGAAAGTCCAAGATAAACTGGAAGATTTCGAAGAAGAACACACTGAATGGATCAACGTTTTACAAAGCATCAATCGAAAAGATTTGTACCAAAGCAGTCAATTTTATCATAATATATCTATGTTCTATTTTCGTCATGGATTGTTCAACGAAAGTCTCCAATATTTATTGAATGAATTGGAGATCTGTCAAAATATCCAGGAATATGATCCGAAGAAGATTATCGATATATTTGATCATATTGCACAATGTTACAATAGAATGCTTAATTATTCTCAACCATTTGTGTACATGGAAAAAGCGTTCCAACTGTCTCAATCGATTGAACAGATCAATCCAAAGATCGTTCGACACATTCAGAATAGAATTGATAATTTTGTTCGAAGAGCAGCAAGACGTAACATTGAATTACCTTGGATACCTTCTTCTCAAGCTGATGACGATATTCCTTGGTGAAGAATATCTTCGATCTAAAACATTGACTTATGCGTTTTTTTGTGTAACACGAATAACGGTAAATAAATCATTTTCACTGGAAAAACCAAATTTCTTGTCGAACAACGCTTACCGAGAGTCAGATTTCTCTCTGTGTTTCTTTTCATTTCTAATGTTTCGTTTCAATCGATACTGTGAATGTTCATTTCACAGTATGTTCGAGAAGTCCTATTTCAAAATCGATAGTGTAAGAAATCTGTCATCTCTTTAATGGTCATTTTATTCATTCACTTTTATCAATCGATGTTGTTATTCGAAAGAAATCAATTGAAATAGATAAACAACAATTAATCAGTGAATGCAAAAAATCATATAAAGACAACACGAGAGATTCAGAGATGATTAATGAGTTGGCGAGTGAATATTCACCAAACAAAGCTTTGTAGTGGTACACGCGAAGTTGTTTCTCATACAAAATGTTAAATAAAGCTTTAAGCGTACAAGACATTGATTTATAGTTTTTGTTTCGTTTTGTGATTGGTGGTATCTATCGACAATTGGAAGCAAATAAGTGTCCATCTTTTGTTCATGTTTAGCGTGGTCAAGTAATGTCGAATGATGCATTAAAGATACTTCAATTGTCCGTTGCTAAGGTCATTTCAGGGTGTGGGTGTGGGTGGATGTCATTGTGGGTGCGGGTGTGGGGTGGTGTGGGTGTGGATGTCGGTGTGAATTTGTTCTTTACATTACAGCCACAGCTTACACCCACACCCACACCCTCCCACACCCACACACCACCCACGCCCCACCCACACCCACACCCTCAAGTTCAAACCTTTGTAACAATTTATTAAGAGTTTTTTTGAAGTCTTTTTCAAAAAAATTTTTAGGTAGTTTGGAAACTGCATCAGCTAATCATATTTCATTTGTTTTCAAAATTTAGCAAAATTTTGTTCGATCATGTCAGTTGCATTCTAGCACTACTAGTGATGTGACATCGATTTATTTTAGATAGGTTAGTCATAAGTCATCTGATGCTAACTGGCTTATGGAAGATGAATTGTCAAAGACTGTTGTTCATGGAGACAGATCTTAACCATAACTTTGTTTAGTATATTCTTTATATCATATCATCCTGAGTGTAGATAAAGGCAAGACTGTAGATCACAATTATTATATTGAAAATTGTCCGAAGCCTTTTATTAATGAAATATGAAAACAAACATAGATATTAGGTTCAACATGCCCAAAATTGCTTAACGATCATCGTTGACGTCATACTCATCCAATACTATTAATTATTTGGCAAAAAAAGGCATCAATATAATGTCACATCTACCATAATCACCAGACCTGATACTACGCAATCTATGATTAAGTGATTGTGTTGGACGTAGTTTAACTGATTAAATAAATGAAATATGATGTGCTGATGCGATTTCCAAGGTACCTACAAATTTTTTTCGAAAAAGACTTCAAAAAAACTTTTAATAAATTGTTAGAAAGGATTGAACTTGATATAAATAATCATAGCAACTATCCTTAACGTTTGATAAAACAAAATTGGAAATATCTCATTATCTTTATATTACTCTTTAATGTGCTTAGAACTTCTGGTACGACCTAAGTACATAGCACAAGACAATTCATAATCAAACAAATAACATCGCCTTATATTCAAGGATTTTTTTTCGTACATAGACTGGAATTATTGATCTTCCTATTTTATGTATCTAAAACAATT